AGCCCCTTCCAGAGCTGAGATATCGAAACTCAAAAATTCGGCCCGAAAAAAAAACGACAGTGGTACCCCTTATGTTTTTTTTTTTTGGGGGAAAAATTAAGTTTCTCCAATCTTCTCAAAACTCTGGATTCTGATAGAGGGCCATGAGACTTAGACCTGAGTGCAAAAATGGAGGCTCTAGCCCCTTCCAGAGCTGAGATATCGAAACTCAAAAATTCGGCTGAAAAAAAAACGACAGTGGTACCCCTTACGTTTTTTTTTTTTCGGGCGAAAAATTAAGTTTCTCCAATCTTCCTAAAACTCTGGATTCTGATAGAGGGCCATGAGACTTAGACCTGAGTGCAAAAATGGAGGCTCTAGCCCCTTCCAGAGCTGAGATATCGAAACTCAAAAATTCGGCCCGAAAAAAAAACGACAGTGGTACCCCTTATGTTTTTTTTTTTCGGGCGAAAAATTAAGTTTCTCCAATCTTCTCAAAACTCTGGATTCTGATAGAGGGCCATGAGACTTAGACCTGAGTGCAAAAATGGAGGCTCTAGCCCCTTCCAGAGCTGAGATATCGAAACTCAAAAATTCGGCCCGAAAAAAAAAACGACAGTGGTACCCCTTACGTTTTTTTTTTTTCGGGCGAAAAATTAAGTTTCTCCAATCTTCCCAAAACTCTGGATTCTGATAGAGGGCCATGAGACTTAGACCTGAGTGCAAAAATGGAGGCTCTAGCCCCTTCCAGAGCTGAGATATCGAAACTCAAAAATTCGGCCCGAAAAAAAAACGACAGTGGTACCCCTTACGTTTTTTTTTTTCGGGCGAAAAAATTAAGTTTCTCCAATCTTCCAAAACTCTGGATTCTGATAGAGGGCCATGAGACTTAGACCTGAGTGCAAAAATGGAGGCTCTAGCCCCTTCCAGAGCTGAGATATCGAAACTCAAAAATTTGACCCGAAAAAAAAAGACAGTGGTACCCCTTACGTTTTTTTTTTCGGGCGAAAAATTAAGTTTCTCCAATCTTCTCAAAACTCTGGATTTTGATAGACGGCCATGAGACTTAAACCTGAGTGCAAAAATGGAGGCTCTAGCCCCTCCCAGAGCTTAGATATCGAAACTCAAAAATTCGGCCCGAAAAAAAAACGACAGTGGTACCCCTTACGTTTTTTTTTTTCGGGCGAAAAATTAAGTTTCTCCAATCTTCCCAAAACTCTGGATTCTGATAGAGGGCCATGAGACTTAGACCTGAGTGCAAAAATGGAGGCTCTAGCCCCTTCCAGAGCTGAGATATCGGAACTCAAAAATTTGACCCGAAAAAAAAAATGACAGTGGTACCCCTTACGTTTTTTTTTTTCGGGCGAAAAATTAAGTTTCTCCAATCTTCTCAAAACTCTGGATTCTGATAGAGGGCCATGAGACTTAGACCTGAGTGCAAAAATGGAGGCTCTAGCCCCTTCCAGAGCTGAGATATCGAAACTCAAAAATTCGGCCCGAAAAAAAAACGACAGTGGTACCCCTTATGTTTTTTTTTTTGGGGCGAAAAATTAAGTTTCTCCAATCTTCCCAAAACTCTGGATTCTGATAGAGGGCATGAGACTTAGACCTGAGTGCAAAAATGGAGGCTCTAGCCCCTTCCAGAGCTGAGATATCGAAACTCAAAAATTCGGCCCGAAAAAAAAAACGACAGTGGTACCCCTTACGTTTTTTTTTTTTTGGGCGAAAAATTAAGTTTCTCCAATCTTCCAAAACTCTGGATTCTGATAGAGGGCCATGAGACTTAGACCTGAGTGCAAAAATGGAGGCTCTAGCCCCTTCCAGAGCTGAGATATCGAAACTCAAAAATTCGGCCCGAAAAAAAACGACAGTGGTACCCCTTACGTTTTTTTTTTTTTGGGCGAAAAATTAAGTTTCTCCAATCTTCCCAAAACTCTGGATTCTGATAGAGGGCCATGAGACTTAGACCTGAGTGCAAAAATGGAGGCTCTAGCCCCTTCCAGAGCTGAGATATCGAAACTCAAAAATCCGGCCCGAAAAAAAAACGACAGTGGTACCCCTTACGTTTTTTTTTTTCGGGCGAAAAATTAAGTTTCTCCAATCTTCCCAAAACTCTGGATTCTGATAGAGGGCCATGAGACTTAGACCTGAGTGCAAAAATGGAGGCTCTAGACCCTTCCAGAGCTGAGATATGGACATCCCACGTAGCATTTATGCCATTATAAAAATAGCGGGTTTGTGGACGGTGGAATTATGGGATGGCGCTTGGTACCACAGACTCAGGGTACCCCCCTGAGTGCATTAAAATAGTTGTTATCATGACAGGAACTTTAATTAAAATGTCTATCAAAAACACTACCCGAATCCCCATTCAATAGATTGCCAATGGGACCGCGTCCAATTGCAGCATATTGAATGAACAGCGGAAAAACTTTAAAAAATATAGTGGGTTATTGGACAAATAGTGGGTTCGTGGGATGGGGGCGTGTCCGGGGACCGGTCAGTGGGGACGTTTCGAGGGTGGCTCCACCGAGGGGGCTTTTGCGGAACTGCCTCGGGGGCCCGAAACTTCGGGCTCCTCCCGTCGGCCCCCCGGGGGGGTCGGGGCGTGTTATAAAGTTATAATGTTCAAGTTTTTGTTCTAAAAAATGACTCTAGATTGATTCGAAGATATTTAGTTTGTTACAAACAATGTGCAATCTGTAAAACAAAAACCTCAAAATTATAGTTGAAATGGTATACTGCTGGGATGTTTTTGACCTTGAGAAAAAGCTTAAAGTATAGACCAACAAATTTTATGTTTATTAATTTATTTCATGTTGGTACATTTTTGGGAAGTACACCTGTTTTGACCTGATGTCCATTGGAATGGACAAAAAAATCACAATGAAAGCAATTATATAAAAAAAAAATTTCATTTGTTTTAATTTATAGAAACCTCATGAGCTGGTAAAATGTACTTTTATATTTTTCAGAAACCTGAAACATAATTCAGGTCTGAGGGGGTTAAATGCCTTTATTTAATGCTTATATTTAGGCATATTAACACCAATACATATTAATATAAAACAATTAAATGTTCATTTTATTAAAGTTGATATCAATATTGAGTTGAAAATGGTCAATATGCATACTGTTAATATCAAAAACACTGATGATAATAATATAAAGAATATTAATTCATGGTTTATTAATATTAATTATAATTAAAAACAAATAATAGAATTGAAAATATCAAATGTTAATAGACTGTTAATTAGAAATTTAAGTTATTTTCCAATACTGATAATTAATTTTGAATTTTTCGCTCAATTTTAAGAAGCAAATTGTTGTATAGACATTCATACAGCTTATGAGGGATCAAGTAAATAAACACTATAAAACACCTTCCTCTCTTCTGTCTTTTGTTGTGCACATCCTTGCTGACTGATTAGTATGTATTGGATGTATCTCTCTCTCTGTGGGTGCGTGTGTGTGTGTGTGTGCGTGTGTGTGTACTCACAGCGGGTCGAGCCACCGGTGTGTGTTGAGTTGTTTGACAAGAGCTCTGGAGTCCTGCATCTTTCTGCTGAGATCCTGTACGAATCCAGCACTGCTGTAGACAGACACCTGCCCCCAGTGCCACACACTGCACACACACACACACACATCAAACCTTCATGAGAATCTCAGTGACATGTGGACGAGGCTCCTGAGCAGAGGTGAAAACATATCCAGCCTCTGAAGCAGAAAACCTGATCCAAGATCAGCCTGGGTCATAAAGCATTCATGTAGAATTCATTAGACACATTAGCAGACACTGATCCAGGAGCAGGAGAGCCTCCAGGAAATAATGCAGCAAACAATGAGATCCAAAAACGTTTTTGGAGGCCGACAGACAACAGTGCAAGAATGACTTTAATCTTTTAGGAAATGCATTGCCTGGACAATTGAAATCCACCCTAGAATGAGATTCACGAGACTTTTGTCACAAGGAAAGCTTTTGTAACATTAATCACTACCATTCAAAAGTTTGGGCTCGGTAAGAATTTATTTTTTATTTTTGGGGGAAAAAAATTATTTATTTTATTCATCAAGGATGAGTTAAATTGATCAAAAGTTACAGTACAGACATTTATAATGTTAGAAAAGATTATATTTTAAATAAAAGCTGTTCTTTTGAACTTTCTATTCATCGTAGAATTTTTTGGGGAAAAATGGTACACGACTGACTGTTTTCAACATTGAAAATAATAATTTATATTTCTTGAGCATAAAATCAGCATATTAGAATGATTTCTGAAGGATCATGTGACACTGAAAACTGATGTGTAATCAGCAACAGTAATGATGTTGAAAATTTAGCATTCAAATTTCATTTTAAAATATATTAAAATAGAAAACAGTCATTTTAAATTGTCATTATATTTAGTAATATTTGTCATAATATTTAGTAATAGCCTTGGTGAGCAGAAGAGACTTCATTTAAAAACTAGGGCTGTGCAAAAATTAATTGCGATTAATCGCATCCAAAATAAAAGTCTGTGTTTACATAATATATTTGTGTGTGCTGTATATAATTATTTTGTATATAGAAATACTTATGCATGCATGTATATATTTAAGAATTATTTGCGCTTAAATTCTGTATATATATATAAATACATAATCTATATTATATAAATATAAATATTTTATAAATGAATAACACATTTTCTTCAATATATACATGCATGTGTGTGTATTTATATATACAAAATAATTATATACAGCACACACAAATATATTATGTAAACACAGACTTTTATTTTGGATGCGATTAATTGCAATTAATTTTTGCACAGCCCTATTAAAAACATAAAAAATCTTACTGATCTAAAACTTTTGACTGGTAGTGTGTGTATATATATATATATATATATATATATATATATATTAATATATAAATTAAAAAAATACATACATATATAATTGTGTCATGTGACTCTTACCCGCTGCTCTGAGCTGTGCTGATACTCCAGTTCTGCACCAATCCCGAGGCTGACTCCGCCCACCCGGCTGGGGCGCACCCAAACCACGAGGATGCTGGGAAATAGCCACTGACGGGGCATTCTGGGAGACAGCGAGGAAAGAAAGATCATGATGCGACAGCAATGCGTCCGTGTATCCGGCAAAACTTTCAATTCACTTTGTGTGTATTTTTATCTTTGCTTATGAAGCTGTTACTCGTCTGCCTTGTGTGTGTGTGTGTGTGTGTTTATCTCTCAATAAAGACTAAACACACACACATTCTCTCATGTGAATCCTGGAGGTCCAGCAAAGATAATAAAAGCATTTTACATATATAATGCTTTCATGAAAGCTATATTTCGGAAGCTATTGCATTCATTTCTTTTTACGAATGATTTTTTCAATAATGATGAGTGCTGGAAGTTTAACTCCAGTGTTATGTCTATATTTTGCATCATTTATAAATATTTGTAACTAAAACAAACATGTTAAGTGTGTTTCCGTCACCTGGCTGCGCTCTCAGCTGTCGGAGACGAGGTCGACCAATCAGCAGGCTTCCCGTCTTCTCCATCAGGACCCGCCCATCCAGTAACCGTGGTAACAGGGAGTCCGAGAGCCACGCCCACACATCCTCACGACTGCAGACAGAAGATCCGATAAGTTAGAGACACGTGTGTGTGTGTGTGTGTGATGCTCGGAGAGACTAGTGTGAATCAGCTCTGATGTGATTCATCAACACACACACACCACACGAGTCTGAGTCTGACCTGACTGAGAGGAAGTGTGTGTGTGATGTACCTGCTGATGTTGTTGAAGCGCTCTGTGAGGAAGTGATCCTGCAGTTGAGTGTGAAGTCGCAGGCGGTGGGCGTCTTTGGTCGAGTCTGAGTAGTTGAGCAGTAAAACCACCAGCAGGAACAGCATGTAGAGCAGGAAACCCTGTCGAAACACCTCTATTATTCAAACACACACTCCTTCACATCACAGAAACAGACGTCAATCGGGATAGAAACACGTCAATCACGGCTAACAGAGTCAGAACAGCCAATCAGAGCGCACACCTCTAAACCACGGCCTGGTAATTAATGGATCCTAGTATGAGTGGCGGCTGTCAGGCATGACAAAGATGGGGTCAAGCTAACAAAGGACTATAGCACTATGACCAATCAATCAATTCGGAAACGAACCCTCAACCCTCTGGCGATCTCCGCGTCTTGGTCAAAAATGAGCGAAATTATTTTCTTTTATTTCAATGAAATTAAATGGTCAAAAATGGCCGAAATTATTTTCTTTTATTTCAATGAAATTAAATGGTCAAAAATGAGCGAAATTATTTTCTTTTATTTCAATGAAATTAAATGGTCAAAAATGACCGAAATTATTTTCTTTTATTTCAATGAAATTAAATGGTCAAAAATGACCGAAATTATTTTCTTTTATTTCAATGAAATTAAATGGTCAAAAATGAGTGAAATTATTTCTTTTATTTCAATGAAATTAAATGGTCAAAAATGAGTGAAATTATTTTCTTTTATTTCAATGAAATTAAATGGTCAAAAATGACCGAAATTATTTTCTTTTATTTCAATGAAATTAAATGGTCAAAAATGAGCGAAATTATTTTCTTTTATTTCAATGAAATTAAATGGTCAAAAATGAACGAAATTATTTTCTTTTATTTCAATGAAATTAAATGGTCAAAAATGACCGAAATTATTTTCTTTTATTTCAATGAAATTAAATGGTCAAAAATGAGCGAAATTATTTTCTTTTATTTCAATGAAATTAAATGGTCAAAAATGAGCGAAATTATTTTCTTTTATTTCAATGAAATTAAATGGTCAAAAATGACCGAAATTATTTTCTTTTATTTCAATGAAATTAAATATTCAAAAATGAGCGAAATTATTTTCTTTTATTTCAATGAAATTAAATGGTCAAAAATGACCGAAATTATTTTCTTTTATTTCAATGAAATTAAATGGTCAAAAATGACCGAAATTAAATTGGTCAAAAATGAGCGAAATTATTTTCTTTTATTTCAATGAAATTAAATGTACTATATTTTAGTATTTTTTTTGTATTTTCGTATTTTAAATGGTAGTCAATTACATATACGCTGTATTTATAATTCCATTTATTCGCTTTTTGAGCATAGACCTGAAAATTACATTTTCAAACCGTCTTAAATCTTGAATGCTTTAGAGCACAGACTAAAGTTTAATCTCTTTTCAAAGACGACACTTGCCAGATTATTGCTGAAGTGAAAAAAGTTTTAAAAAGTGAACAAAAAAAAGTTCCCACTTTATATTAAGTGGCTTTAAGTACTATGTACTTACATTGAAACAAATAATTTGATACAATGGACTTATTGTGTACAAACATGTTTTTACATTGTACTTATATCTTAAAAATACCAGCATGTAACTCATTTATGTAATTACCTCTGTAATTACAAAGCTGACCCATACTTATACTTAAACCCACCCCTAAACCTACCCATACCACCACACCTTTCCCTAACCCTACCCGTATCCCACCTCAATAGCAGCAAAAGTGTTTTACAAGTACATACATTGTACTTATTTTTCAATTTAAGTACATAGTAATTAAAGCCACTTAATATAAAGTGGGACCGATAGTTATGTTATTGTTATGAAAAATTTACATTTTTATATAAAATATTTATTCTCAAAAACATGTTTTACTCTAAAACTATGAGAAAATCAATAAATCTAAACAAGTTGTGCTAAAAATGTGAGCCTGATATCTCAAAAAAATGAGCTTTCAGTGAGATTTAGTTCGGCTGCAGTACCAACAGTTTCCACTAGATGAAATTCGTCTCCCATTCAATTCCAATGTGCCCATTATTGACCAAAAGGAGCACAAGAGTGACTATTTTTTTTCAGGACCATTTAACCAGTTCACATAGTAAGTGCCAATATCTTTACGAAGTTTCGTACCATTCCAATGAAGGAAAAGGAAAAATACCTTCAGCATGGTGTGTAGCAGGCGGACTTTACGCGCTTCTTCTCTGGCCTGTGAGAGAGCGAAGCCCTGCGGCGGCCGGACCCGAGGGATCCGCTGAACGACCCGCTCCACACGAGGACAGTCCACCAGCACGTCCTGCTCCTCGGCTCTCAGACGCCCCGCCACCAGAGAGAAGTACACAGCCTCTAACAGCACCTGCACACACACACACACACACACACAAGAATCAGCCAACACATCTGGATTTGAAAAAAAAAAACAATTCCTGGCCCAATTTTCACAATGTATTATTATTTCAGTGTTTATTTTATATTCAAACTGATATTAAGAGTGATATGAATATATCAATTTATAAGATCAAAAATATTAACAAGTATCAACATTTATCATAATTGAAAACTAATTATAATCAATTAATATATTACTAACTCGCTAAATGTTAATATTTATTCATATGAACTAAAAAAAATGAATATTAATTAGAAACCTATATTAATATTAATTTAAAAATATAAATTTTGACAAGATTTTTGCTATAACTATAATAAAATAATCAAAATGTGTTAATATGTATGTTTGAAATTATATTAATATTGCTCGTCGAGACAAACTGAACCAAGTTCAACGAAGATGAACACTAATTAATCAAATTATTTGACATCATATATCGAATCGATTTTTATTCTTTCTGCTTACAAAACCGTCCATAAATCCGCCAACGCTGGTGATCTCGGGGGTTTACCTTCAGCGGCTCCAGAATGAGGAAAGACGACAGGAAGCTGACAATGCTGGAGATCAGCCACATCAGAGCCACGCCCTCGCTGAAGCTCCGCCCCAGCCACATCGATAGGCTGGCGGACAGGATAAGCCACGCCCAGCTGGCCCACAGAGCAGCCAATCCGCATAGAGGAGGAAGTGGTCTTGGCTTACACACATCCATCACCACTGTGTGTGTGTGAGAGAGAGAGAGAGAGAGAGAGAGAGAGAGAGAGAGAGAGAGAGGAGTTCAGCTGTGTTTGTGTCTCTCTCTGAGGTGGATTTAGGTGTGTGTGTGTGTGTGAGTGTGTGTGTACCTGTGCGTGAAGTGAAGGCAGTTTTGGGTGGGTCTCGTCTAAAGGCCGCACACGGGACAGGTTCATTCATCTTCTGCAGCAGAATCACTTCCGTCTTATCCCCAAATATACTGGAGCTAAACACACACACACACACATATTCAGCAAGGATTTATTCAACCGATCAAAAGTGACAAAAAAGAACAAAAAACAAGATGAACAACGAGCAAATTCAAGATGAATCCGATTTAATTTTTTGAACTATTTTTTTCCTACGACTGTAATTTCCCTGTCGATTTATATATTTTTCAACCTTATATTGAAACGTTTCTTGTCTTTTTTGTAGGGCTGTGCAAAAATTAATTGAGATTAATCGCATCCAAAATAAAAGTCTGTGTTTACATAATATATTTGTGTGTGCTGTATATAATTATTTTGTATATATAAATACCTATGCATGCATGTATATATTTAAGAATTATTTGCGCTTAAATTCTGTATATATATATATAAATACATAATCTATATTATATAAATAGAAATATTTTATGTATGAATAACACATTTTCTTAAATATATACATGCATGTGTGTGTATTTATATATACAAAATAATTATATACAGCACACACAAATATATTATGTAAACACAGACTTTTATTTTGGATGCAATTAATCGCAATTAATTTTTGCACAGCCCTACTTTTTTGTTTTCAGGATATTTTCTATACGATTTAACACTTTTTGTGTGAGCTTACGTTTTCCACATAATGAACGTAAGGCATTTGAATGATGTTGAAGGACTCACAGATCGCCCACGTCACTGTCCGTCTGAGACAGCAACTGTCCATCGGCCAGGATGCGCTTGATTAGATCCTCATCTGTCAATCAAAGTCAGCAGCCAATCAACAACCAGCTCTATTCCTCTGACACAGTGTGCAAGTCTAGAAGTCATTTGCATAATGGCGGAGGAGAGGAGAGGAGAGTGACCTGAGGAGGAGAAGTATTTGTTCCTGTGGCTGTTGTCACACACGGTGTCGTCCTCGTCCGGGCTGAAGGCGATGTCCACCCCCAGGTGTCTGCTGCCCTGACCTCTCTTGAGGCGGGGGGGAAACACCGGCCCCATCTCCACTGACGGGTCCGTCAACACGTCTGGCCAATCACAGTCCGGAATACTCCACCTCTGGAGACTGCGGAGCAGGGACACAGATTCACTCAAACTCACACTGACACACTCACTCAAACTGAGACACACACACAAACTCACAGACACACACTCACTCAGTATTTGATTCACTGATTCAGTTGTTCATAATCTCTTGTATTGACTCACAATGAATCGCTCAGTCACACTGATTCATTCACACTGACTCGTTCAGTCATTCATTGACTCTTTGATTCACTTAAAGTCATTAATTCATTCACTTTTTGATTCATTCGCTCACTAGATCACTGATTCGGTTTTCATTTGCTTAGGATTTCATTCTCATTTATTAAAATCGTTTATTTAGCCACTCAGTTGTTTTTTTTCTGTTTTTTTGATACATTTTTACCCACACCACCTATGTATTATTCAACATTGTTAAAATATTTAAATATATGAAAAAACAAAACACAAATTATACATCATTCAACATCAGTTCATTTATTCATAAAGTAACACCCAGTGTTATTTTAATATTATTTGTAAAATATTATTCATATTTTCTTGATATTTTATTTCGTTTACTTTATTTCAAGCAACAGAAATGCTTCAGTTTCAGCTTCAGATAACTATAATAACCCTGGTCGGATGTAAAGGATGTTTTAGCATTCTGCAGGTCTGGGTTTAATGAGCTGAGTTTAAGTGTGTGTGTGTGTGTGTCGGTAACCATGGCGACCTGATGACCTCATGCTTACCTCTTAGTGGAAGGAGTCGGCAAGTCAATGTTGGTCTCTTCTGAGTACGTCTGCAGTGTGTGTGTGTGTGTGTGAGAGAGAGAGAGAGAGAGAGAGAGAGTTATTCTTCTGCAGGAGCACAATAGACTCAGCATCTGAGCTCATACTGATGTACTTCACAGTTTAATCTAAATTAAGACTATGAAGATGACAAAAAACACCTTTCAAAATGCACACATTTATTTCCTAACCATATGATCTAGTTTTTCCTCGTAGAGCACCAGAGAGAAGTAGAATTAAACAGCTATGACTTGAGAAACATGACGAGAAGGTCTCCGTGAAGGTTTCTCTCGGCTTCTGTGTTCATTTGCAAATAAAGTGCAGCCTGATACGCATTTCAATGTGCACCTCATGGACGGTGTGAGACAAAAGCATCTGGGTCTCGTGCAGAATGGAAAAAATAATCATATTATATTTTCCCTTTGAATAAAAAATAGACGTGCATCAAACTCTTCAGCAGTGTTATACCTCAGTCAGTCTCACGAGATCTACGCCAGGATGTGACATCGTAACAATTATTATAATCACTCTGTCGAGTCGGAATCATTCTAATTACTACAATGAGATTCTAATGAGAATAATCAATCAGTGATCTATAGAGCATACACTCTACAGTACATAACTATTGTACAGTAGACTATTATATGATCAAGATATATGATAAAATATAGAATATTATAGTTATATTATAGAAAATTATACCTATAGAATATAGAAAGATAACTTTTAAATAAATACGAAAATAATTAAATAAAAATATGTTTTATAAAATAAATAAATAAAAATGAACAAATCCAAAAAAATACATTTTTATAACAATAAACAAATCGAAATAAATAAATAAATAAATGAAATAACAAATATAAAAATAATTATTATAAAATAAATTCATAATTTTATTTAAAAAACGGATAAATGTCCAAATATAAAAACACTTCACATAAAATAAAAAGTGCTGTCAAATTGATTAATCGAATCTAACGATAAAGTTTGTGTGCATATATAATATATACAGTATGTGTGTGTTTACATATATTGTATATTTACAAACTTTTATGTTAGATGCGATTAATCGTGATTAATTGATTTGACAGCACTAAAAATAAATAAATTAATAAACAAATATAATCATGCTTCATAATAAATAAATAGAAAAAAAAAACACTTTTTTAATACAAATAAATAAATTAATGAAATGAATGTATTAGCAAACATATAAATACCTATAAAACAACTAAACAAATAAATAAAAAGTTATAGTAATGCTAAGTGCCTTGACTGGTTTATATGTTTCACTGCGCCGGGTGTGTGTGTGTGTGTGTTTTCACTACTCCTAACTTGGAAGGGTTAAATACAGAGGACAAATGGGTTCCTCAACTTGGCCTTCACGTCACATCACTTCAGTTTGTGAACCAGCGAAGATGAACATCTTCAGCCAAATCAACGTACCTCTCCAGGAATCCCATTCAGCATCAGGAAAGAGCTTCCTGTCAGGGAGTTATCCAGGAAGTCGTCGATCTCCAGAGACTCCTGGTCCACCTGAGGAGGAAGCTGCTCCACAGACACCTGGAGAGAGACCGAGCGTTTAATGTCCCATTTATACAGCGCTTTGAACAATATAGATAGTTTCAAACAGGAAATGACAGTAACAGAGATCGTTTTGGCTTTACAGCAGCATCAGGATAAAGTTAGTTTTGATTGATTCACTTCCATTGCAGAGACCATTAGTTATGAACTCCGGGGGGCGCTAACACGACACCGTTCAACAGAACACTGTGAAAGTGTTCTGGCCGTTCATACACACCACAAGGTTTAGAATGACCTCATGAAATTGCGTATGTATGACACGCCAATTCGTATTTCCATTTTTGGCGCGCTTTCAACACGCGTAATCGCTTTTTAGCGTGTTTATGAACGCCGTTGACTTAACGTTACATTACTGTATATATCGTATAACCTCGTCCCTAAACCTACCCGTCACTGGGGTTAATAGCATTTATGAGTCCATCCTAGGAAAAAAATATCGCTCCCCAGATGTAGGTCTACATTTTGCTTCGTTTCGCTCGGACATTTAACGGCGTGTACATACACGCGGATAGCTCAAAATGCGTATAGATAACACGCCACTTGACTTGAAAGTGGCGTGTATGTTTACGCAAAAGTCATGATGCCACGTTGGGCGGTTCGAGAGCGACAACTGTGAAATCTCCGTGAAATGCGTATTACGTGTTCAGTCTATAGGTGTGTGCGTTTGAATATATATGTGCGCAGGTGTGAAGTCATTCTTTAATTGACTTCAATATATGACTTGTCTGGCCTGCAGAAAGACCGAATTTTTTAGTCGTTTCCGCGTTTCCATGCGAACTGGAATAATTTTGACCTGTACAGAGGCACAGATCAAGATAATGTAGAGATGAGGCCGAAATTTCCGTATGCGATTTTTCGAATATTCGTGATTTTCTACGGATACGAAAAACGCAGAAAATCGATTTATTTTATGATGGACGAAAGTTTCGGAGGCAGTGTGCAAGCGTGATTGACATAACGTGAGGTCATTTTAATTTTTTAACGTGCAAAAATGTGTGACCCTGATAGCACACGTACATCAAAGAGACGTCTATTTCCTGTCAGATGTCAAATAGACGTTTAGAAGATGTCTTTAAGATGTAATGATTTAGAATGTATGTTAAACTGATCAGATGTTAGTAAACAGCAGATGCTTTCCAGATGAAGTGATCTTTAACAGACATCTTGCAGACGTACGTGTGCTATCTGCAAGGGCCTGTGCAGTCTCAGAATGTCTTCAGAGAAGGTTTTGTGTGTGTGTGTGTGTCTCACCTTACTGCGGCTGAGTCTGAAGAGGCAGAAGACGAGCAGGTACACAGGGTACACCAGGAGACAGCTCACAAGCCCCGCCCACACAGTCTCCACATTCACCGAGACCAGATGAGACACCGGCGTAGAGCTGAGGCACACATGCACACACTTCATCACAACAAGAGTCTGGAACTATTGTGTTTTTGAGAGCACGCTAATATTACAGATGTTTGACCAGTAGTGGACATATCACTACTGTAGCATGCACACTGCCATTAAAGGTTTTGGTTCAGTAAGATTTGTAGAAGTCTTTTCTGTAAAAAAAAAAATTGGTTTAAAATAATTGGTTTGGATTTTTAGATATTTTAAGATGTAATTTAAAACAGTTCTTTTAAATTGTAATAATATTTCACAATATTACTGATTTTGTGTGTTTTTAATCTTGGTGAGCAGATGAGAGACTTCTTTCAAAACCATTAAAAATCGTATCGATCCAAAACATTTGAACAGCGGTGTGCGTCTGCACATTAAAGCGTGTGAATGCCAGCGTGTTTCACCTGTGCCCGTAAGCGACGGTGCCGTACCACACGGCGTTGGCCAGCATGCAGAGGTGCATGAGCAGCGAGCCACAGGTGAGCCGCTGGAGACGGGTGAAGGGGCTCCTCGGGGGCCGTTCCCAGAGAGACAGCCACAGGTGACTCTCACACACCGCTCTCTGCAGCTCCCAGGACAGCAGCCGCGGCCATTGGCGGAGCTCCGCCTCCTCTGAACACACCAAACACACCACACACACAGAGGTCAGACTACAGGAAGCTGTGCAAATACCATCCGATGACGGGGTCGGTTACAGCACAGGTTATCAGTCGACACTGCTGTGAGGTTCATTTTACCATCATTCCTGTGTTAATGGAACATGATGCATAACGAAAGATTTGAAAACACAACAACAACCATATGCCGTTAACAGTAGTTTGAGCTAGTTATCATACTACCTAACTAACTAACTAACTGAATTGCCCCTTGGGGACTAATAAAGGTATGTAAATCTGAATAACTAACCAACCAACTAACTAACTAACTAACTAACTAACTAACTAACTAACTAACTAACTAACTGACTGAATTGCCCCTTGAGGACTAATAAAGGTATCTGAATCTGAATAACTAACTAACCAACCAACCAACCAACTAACTAACTGAATTGCCCCTTGGGGACTAATAAAGGTATCTGAATCTGAATAACTAACTAACCAACCAACCAACCAACTAACTAACTAACTGAATTGCCCCTTGGGGACTAATAAAGGTATCTGAATCTGAATAACCAACCAACCAACTAACTAACTAACTAACTAACTAACTGAATTGCCCCTTGAGGACTAATAAAGGTATCTGAATCTGAATAACTAACTAACCAACCAACCAACCAACCAACCAACCAACTAACTAACTAACTGAATTGCCCCTTGGGGACTTATAAAGGTATCTGAATCTGAATAACCAACCAACCAACCAACTAACCAACTAACTAACTAACTAACTGAATTGCCCCTTGGGGACTAATAAAGGTATCTGAATCTGAATAACCAACCAACCAACCAACCAACTAACCAACTAACTAACTAACTGACTGAATTGCCCCGTGGGGACTAATAAAGGTATCTGAATCTGAATAACCAACCAACCAACTAACTAACTAACTAACTAACTAACTAACCAACTAACCAACTAACTGACTGAATTGCCCCGTGGGGACTAATAAAGGTATCTGAATCTGAATAACCAACCAACCAACCAACCAACCAACCAACCAACTAACTAACTAACTGAATTGCCCCTTGGGGACTAATAAAGGTATCTGAATCTGAATAACCAACAAACCGACCAACCAACCAACCAACCAACCAACCAACCAACTAACTAACTAACTGAATTGCCCCTTGGGGACTAATAAAGGTATCTGAATCTGAATAACCAACCAACCAACTAACCATCTAACTAACTAACTAACTAACTGACTGAATTGCCCCGTGGGGACTAATAAAGGTATCTGAATCTGAATAACCAACCAACCAACCAACTAACCATCTAACTAACTAACTGACTGAATTGCCCCGTGGGGACTAATAAAGGTATCTGAATCTGAATAACCAACCAAACCAACCAACCAACTAACTAACTAACTAACTAACTAACTAACTAACTAACTAACTAACTAACTAACTGAATTGCCCCTTGGGGACTAATAAAGGTATCTGAATCTGAATAACCAACAAACCGACCAACCAACTAACCAACCAAGCAACCAACTAACCAAATAATGAACTAACTAACCAAATAATTAACTAACTAACCATCCAACCAACAAACCATCCAAATAATGAACTAACTAAGTAACCAACCAACCAACCAACCACCCAACTAACTAACTAACTGAATTGACCCTTGGGGACTAACAAAGGAATCTAAATCTGAATAACCAACCAACCAACCAACAGTCCTCTCTCACCGACCAGTGTTAGGAGTAATGCATTTCAAATACACAATTTAATTCAATTATGTTTTATGACTAAAGAGTTGTATTTTTTCAAGTAATATTTTTAAAATGTACATCATAATATCCAAGCTTGTTTTTCAAATAAAATAAAACATCTTTTTTTTTAACCAATTATAACAAATACAAAGTTTTAATTTCCATTTTTCACCCTAAAAACCCATACAGGCATTATTTATTATCAACATTTTATATTTTAAAAAAGTTATTAAAAAATAATTATACATCATTGACTATAATATATATTCATATAATTATATAAAACATATAAATAAATTATAATACACACACACACATATATATATATATATATATATATATATATATATATATATAAAATACATGCACATATATAACTCAGTGAAATTAATTAATTTTGATGAAAACTAACAATTTTCACCTAATTGTATCCTGCATGTTATCCTGTATGTTATGAAGCCTTAGGCTTACTTTCTATTAAAACTACTAATGTATTATAATAGTTCTTATTAGGAGTAGTCGTGCATTACTTAATATCACTAATGTTTGCAAACATTACGAGCAAACAGTGCAATTAAAAGGATTTCATTTCCACTTCTTTAAGCATAAGTTGTTCTTCGCAGTTATTATTTCTCTGAATATTCATAATTCCAGCAGCAACCAATCACAATCAGTGTTTTATCAGGGGAGGCGGGACTTTACCGGAGGCTTCCACCTCTATCTCCACCCGGCCGTCCGTTTTCTCGTTGTCGACCGAGAGCCATTCTTCGACCAGGAAGAAGTAACTGCTGCCCGTCTGCAAGTCCTTCACCAGGACATACTGGAGCAGCCAAGCGGGAGACAGACCTGAGACAGAGGGAGAGAAGCGGAGACTTCTGGGAACGGGCCACCAGGGGTGTGTTTCCCGAAAGCATCGTTAGCCAACTATGGTCAAAGTCCCGTCGTTATCAGCAGCTCATCGAGTCGGTGTTTACCAAAACCATGGTTCTAACGAACATTCGCAGAGTTGTGTGTTTGAGCGACAGATCTCGAGCCGTGCTTAGAAGCAGTTTCATGTTTGCCTGACTCAATAAATCCTGATCTTGAACATTCATTACAATCTGTGTCTTTTATTTAGAATACATACAAATGTCTTTTACCAGAGATTTAAAGTGTCGCTATTGAAGAGTGTGTGAACGAGCTCTAGTGCGCAAGATCGAGCTTATGTTTGAATCTGGAAATAAAGCAAAATACTGAGAAAAATGAGTCCTCAGATGCCATGACGTCATTTACAGCAAAACATCTCGCATTAATTCGATCTCAAACTAATTCATTAAAAGAAGTTATCCCTCCACCACCAGTGTGACATCACTGTCACCGTCCCACAGGTGGGACGCTTGCCATTATATTTTTAAAACAATAATATGTCTTAGAAAAGACCTTAAGTAATATTGACAAACTATATATCATTTGAAAGCTTACCATCCCTAGTTTCCATATTTGGTGACTGATTTTCAAAATAATTTACACACGAGCTGCAATTTATCAATTTGCAACAAGATTATCATACTCATAAATCGTGTTTAGACCTTTATTTTGAAATAGCAATGAACATGAAAAATCATGAAAAAAAGTTAGAAACCTCAGTTTGTTTTCATGCCAAGAGTTCAAAAGATAGCATCCATTCAATTATTTTAGAAAAAAGGTCTGAAAATGTTTTAAATATTACAGAATAAAAATAGATTCACCATTTGTGTTATGGCAATAAGCTATAACGGCATGCGTGTGCTTTATATGTGATTCCTAGAGGTTGAATTCATATCAAAATCTGCCAAACTACCCATACTACTTCTGAATAGGATCTCAACTTCATAAATTGTGTGAAATTTGTGAAAATAATGGTTCAGATCACTCAAAACACATATGGAAATGGAGACGCCCTTATATGGGCAGTAATGGAGTCTGGTTGTGCCCTAGTGGAAGCGTTCGGTACTGCGCCCAAACTAAATCTCACTGAAAGCTCTTTTTTTTGAGATATCAACCTAAAATTTGAAACACAACTTGTTCAGATTTTTGGCTTTGATTTTCCTGCAGTTTTAGAGTAGTCCAGGTTTTGAAAATATATATTTTATATAAAATATGAATAATTAATTTTTTTTTAAATTGTACAACTCAAACTTCTATAACTTTTTTCTGTTTCACTTTCCTAATTTATTTCACTTCGAGAAAAAATGTCTTCTTTAAAACGAGACCAATCTTACGTCTATATTCCAAAGCATTCTTGAATTACAACCATTTAAGTTTGAAATGAGCATTTCCATGTCTATTCAAAAAAAGGGGGGGGTGACAGTTAAGAGGTTAACCAACGAGGTTGAACGATTACGTTTCGGGAAACCGTCGTGACTAGCTAGTTGATTTCTTCAACGAACTAATGGTTCCCATAGGAACGTTTTCCTGGTTTCATTCGCACCGCCAGTAGGAACTCTGAAGTGACGTAAGCCGCGTTTGTTGATTTGACTTTTATTTTGATGGCGAGGTGGACCTTTATTTTGACGAGCTGAGAAAACACAGTGCTCGCATTCTCCGTGTTCATTAGTTTACGATCAGTCCTGTCTAATATGTTATTAGATTAAACTGTTATACAGAAGTATAAAATAAGGCATTTATAGAATACGGGACGTCCCGGCTAATTCGGGACAGTTGACAACCCTAGTCCTGTTCCACATGGGAAATGTTGTTTATGGCCGCTCTGCCGGCCCGATTAGGTACCTTTGTTGTCGTGCCAGACTCGGATCTTGAGCACGCTGGCCAGGCTGGCGTCTGTGGCGATGTGGAAGATGTCCAGACTGTTCCGAGCGAACGCACCGACGCTGTCCAGGTGTCTGTGCCCACTGCGACTCTCGCTGCCGTGAAGACTGATGCCAACGTGAGCCGTGGTGCCTGGACCGGGGGTGAACACACTGAGATCAAACACTGACACTCCAGGCATCTCAATCAACACAACCGGCAGCGTTTCAAACAGAGATCACGGTTCTGAACAAAATAACATGTGAATACTAGTATAACATTACAAATACTGTAATGCTGACAAAATACTAGAGGTTCTGGAAAATGTCTATTTGAAATATTTAATTAATTTGATTGAATCAATCTTTTTGTTTTTAAATCGGGATAAATGACTCAATGATTCAATTATTGGATTCATTTTCATTTTTGATTCATTTTAACCTTCACTTGCGCTCCTGATCTCACCTGCTCCGTAGGCCCAGCCGGTCTTGACCTGGATCTCGTACTTGTAGAGACCGTCCTTCCCACACAGCGGCACCACAGAGGCCCGTCTCAGGTCCATCTGATCCAGCTTCCGCAGTATAGCTCCGGCCACAGCGTAACACAGCAGTCCGATCACACACACCAGCACCACCACCAGACTGCGAGTCACTGAGCGCTCCTGACACACACCACACTGAGTTAGCACTTACTGACTTACTGAAACCAGCAGCTCTCAAAATATAATATAATATAACTACTTATTTTGTCCAGACAGATTTTATAAAAATATCATATCTTTTAAATTAATATATTAAATAGTAGTATTACTCCTATAAATGTAAGCCCCAAAATGAAGACATTATTGTGGCAAATATAATATAATATAATATTTTTGAAAAATATTTTGAAAATGAAAATATATCAAATTAATTTAAATTCATAAAAATAATAAATCTAATATGTTTCAAATTTGCGAAAAACAGAAATATAAAAACATACATTTTAAATACTACTTATTAATATGTCATAACAAAAAGGATAATTTAAAAAATATTATTTTATGAGAAAATATAATAATATAATATAAATAATATATAAAACAAATATTTAAAAGAACTATTTATATATATTATTTTTATATAATAAACATAGAATCATTAGTACTTTGTCCAGATGGAGGGCTAATTTACATTTTTTATAATATAATATAATATAATATAATATAATATAATATAATATAATATAATATAATATAATATAATATAATATAATATTTTTGAAAAATATTTTGAAAATGAAAATATATCAAATGAATTTAAAATAATAAAAATGATATATATATATATATATAAAATATATTTCAAATTTGCAAAAACAGAAATATAAAAACATACATTTTAAATACTACTTATTAATATTTCAGAACAAAAAGGCTAATTTTAAAAAGATTATTTTATGAGAAAATATAACAATAATATAAATAATATATATATAAAACTATTAATATATATATATATATATATATATATATTATAATATAACATAACATAACATAATATAATAAAGTATTATCACACTTATATTGAGCGTGATAATTTTTTTTATTCAAATAAATTTTGTTGTAAAATAGTTAAGTTGAAATAAGTTGAAAAAAGAAATATATTTGTATATATTAAACTTGAGAAAAAAACATATATAAACATTTTAAAGAATCATTAGTACTAATAAAATATTATATTCTTTACACAAATATATATACATATATATATATTGTCAACATTTAATATATTTTAAACTATTTGAAAGTATCATTACTACTATTTCTGGAGAGAAGGGAAGGTTTGCTTTAAAATGTTTAATTTCTAAAATAATGATTAATTTTTAAATGATAATTAATAATAATATGGAGGAAACCAAGGTGTGTGTCGTGTTGAGTTGTGACTCTCACGGGAATGATGAAGGAGACGGCGTCGGGCGGGACGAACAGGCTGGCGGCGAACGCGGTGAGGTGACGCGTGCGACACACGGCTCGGCCCACGCTGGTGTCGGGCAGAGGAACCATCCCGTCCGTGCGCCACTGTCCCGCACTCTCGCTGAAATACTGGCACAGAGACGTGAACACAGCCACCTCCAGCCGGATCAGAGCCGGGTCACCCGCGCCGCAGCCCGTGGACACGTTTATGAAGTGCTCGCGCGTGGTGTCGTGCCATCTGAGGAGAAATCACAACGACGGTGACTAGCTTGTGCATCATCATCATCGCAAATGCTGTTCATTTATTGGCTGGAAATCAAAGATGCGACTAAACAAAATGGATAGAGATTTAAATCTGACTTGTGTTTTGTGAAACGCTAATCTCCATTGGTGACATAATGAATGAGTCACTCGGTAAAGGGCTGTTGGCAAACTAAAGAGCCGCCCGCATGCAAACTCATCATTAATTACAGATGAACGGCTTTCATTAACATGCACTTCCAGGATTTCTCAGACATCAACACATCACAAGTGTCTGCTTAAAAGCTTTAAACGCTGACGTCTCTTACTCTGGAGACAGGAAGAAAGTGTAGTGTCGGTGGTCCAGGTCTGGCCCCCGCGTCATATTGAGCGTGATGCGTTTCCTGTCAGTGCTGTTGTATTCATTGGGCCACTCAGAAGTGTGTAGATAGGCCGTGATCGATGGATCCAATTCCCACGTTTCTGGAGAATCTGAAGACGACGGTCACGGGATGAATGGAAATGGGTGTTAGAGACACAAATGGGTATATAGGAAGAATATAGGAAAAATTAAACTCCCTGAATATGATATATATTATTGATATATATACTGTATATAAATATCCTGCAGGGATAAAGAGATAAAGTTGATTTTTACAATGTTGGCACACACACATTAATAAACACTGAGCATGTGCTGCTGTGTTAACTAGTCGCGTAGTCACGTTAGTTCAGCCAAAACAGGGCTTTTAAAAAAAAAAACCATTAAAAGTAATTTTCGATAACTGAAATAAAGCTAAAGTAAAAACTAATTAATTGATTAAAGCTACAATAAAATAAAAGGTGAAAAACTTCCAATTAAACGAAGAGAAAAATTGCCTCGGCAACTAACTTAAGTTTAAATTCAAGTACTAAAATTATTAAACCCGAAATAGAATAAAATAAAAATGACAAAAGCACAAAGCAAAATGACTTAAACTTCAACTACGATTAAAATGAAAACATCAAAATAAAAGCCAATTAAAAATATTAATAAACAATTTAATGACACAAATAATCCTAAAATAACTGATGCCTAGTTAATGTTTTTTATAATCGAATATTATGAAATATGTTTAAAATGATTTTTCGCGCACTTCACATTGACGAAATGTAATGTTCATTTCTGGTTCAGCTGATCAGATAACATGAAATTAATTATGATGATTTTAATCTAGCACTTTTTTTTCTAGGTGTAAGCATCATCTTTATGAAAAGTATTACATATTTAGTAATCAGACAATATTTTAACAACTTTCTTACGCACGATGACCATATAAAAGCCAATTTTTTAATTTTGTGGTCAACATGTTGCCCTTATAATATTACACTTATATATGTTCTCATACAGTTTAATATGTTTTGGTTTGCGACACTATTTGTCTACTCTCAGTGGCGCCCCCTTGTGTCAGGCAACTTTATAATATCACACTTTTATATTTTCTCATTCAGTATAATATATATATATATGACGAGTTCAGATGCAAATGCCTCTAAATGCCATTTGAAATTTTCTTCTTTAATGATGATTTTTATCAAACTTGTATATTTAAGTTCAGTAATTTCACTTAAATAACAATTAATAGGTAATTATCATTGCCATTTAAGTGAAATCACTGAACTTAAATATACAAGCTTGATAAAAATGATCATTCTAGAAGAAAATTTCAAATGGCACTTAGAGGCTTTTGCATCTGAACTCTTCATATATATTTGTGCAAGCTGTTGTTCCTCTCAGTGGCGCCCCCTTGTGTCAGGCATCTTACCGTCCAGTACGGTGAAGTTGAGTTGGACGTAGATTCCCGCCTGTCTGTTGGCGTTCCCCGTGCTCACCCTCACGATGACCGAACTGCAGTGACTGACGTTCTCGGCTCCCGCCGGCGCCAAGATGGCCTCCAATCCGTTAGCGTCCAGCCCGGCCGCGCTTCCGTTATTAACGGTGACCGTTATGGCCTGGCTCTCGTCCAGATCCGAGATGGGAATCTGCGTGCCGTTCACCGTGCGAAACTCCATGGACGCCACCTCTGTGGACACGGTGTGATTGGGGACATAATTAAACGGGAATGGATTTGGCTCCACTTGGAAGAGCAGTTGCACGATGCCGTCCTCGCCGTTGGCTCCTGGCGTGAGGGCGCCCCCTGCTGCCCGTCCCAGACTAGCGTTGAACGCTCGCGGGATGGAGAAGCGCCGGCACTCGGGCGCGTTACTCTTGCCGTAGCAGTGCAGGCTTTGAGGATCGGCGCGCTTCCCGACGGCTGCGATCTCGGCCCCGCGGAGGATCAGGGGCTCCTCGTTCAGGACGCGGCCCAGCATCAGGATCCTCATGAGGACGGAGGACAGGGTGTAGGCTTTAGCCGCCACTCGCAGCGGGTGATGCTGGTGCTCCTCTAGGAGGAGCAGAGGCTGCTGGGAAGTGCTGTCGCGGTCCTCGGCCTCCGGCGCCGGAGAGGTCTGGCTCACCTGGTGGATCAGGTCACCTGACGGGGGGAAAAGGAGGATTCATTTACTGAGCGGATGGATGCTGAACACCAGCAGGATTAAAGGCTCAATGAAAATACAAACAGAATCGGCTGCCAATTCATAAAATACGTAATAAAAAAAGTTAAATAGAACATTAAATTAATCTCACTGTTGAGAAAAGCCCCAAATTAAAGATTAATTCAAGACATGTCAGATAAGTTAATAACTGAACTGACATAATATTACATAATGTAACATCATAATATAATTATACTTTCTATAAATAAAAAATTAAAGTATTGACAAAAATGGAATATATATATATAATTTTTTTAAATTACTTTTATAAATGAAAGCCAAAAAATTATGACAAATCAAATACATTATTGTGGCAAATGATAATAAAATAATAATAAAAATAATAAAATATATTTTTAAACAATGTTTTCTAAAAATACAAGTATAAATTAGCCTTGAGAAAATTAGTGAGTTTAAAATTACTCTAATAAATGAAAGCCCAAATAATATAAAATAAAACAGAATAATATAATATAATATTTTTTATTAATTAAAGAATAAATTAGCCTTTAAAAAAAGAAAGAAAGAAAGAAATATATAGATAGACAGATCAATAGATAGATAGACAGATAGAACAGATGCTTAAAACATATATATATACATTATTGTGGCAAATGAGTAAATAATTGGAATATACATGATATATAATTTATAAATAAAATAGAATAAATGTTGTAATTTTTAAAATATACATTAAAATATACATTAATCTAATTTGTCGATTTAGTTCAGATAAGCTTTAATGAGAGAAATAAAAAATGACAACAACACAAACGAGTAATGTGTACACGAGCGAACAGCTTGTTTGTTTGCGAGTGTGTGTTAGTATAAGACAATGGAATGAAAGATGCAGTTTGCTCTCACTGTGTGTGTGTGTGTGTGTCGTACCCATGATATGGAGGATGTTGTCTGCGATCTCAGTGGGAGTGACTGTGCCCTGTTTAGTGTCTGTCTGCAGGATCTCTAACATCGACTCCAGTTTGTTCAGAGTGCTGTTCTGACACTCTTCACACACAAACTCTCGACTCACCTAAAACACACACACACACACACACAATAAAGACTGTTAACTTGTTTGGTCATGGGCGGCACTGGGCTGGTCCAGGACCCGCGGGCCCGTCTCACCGTGCACTGGGCGAGCGCCGCTGACGTCTGCTGGATGTCACTGACGGTGATGAGGTCCAGTGATGTCAGCGCTCTGGTGATGTTTCCTCTGACGCTCACTCGATACTGACGCTCCGCCTTAGTCACATGCTCACGCCTGCGGGACACACCCTGCTCATACTGACACACACACACACAAGATGATGAGCAGATGGAGAAGGCCATGGCGGACGGATTGAGAAACGGATGAAGACAAACTGATCTGTCTGTCTGTCTGATAGACAGATAGAACGATAGATAGATAGAACGATAGATAGATAGATAGACAGAACGATAGATAGATAGATAGATAGATAGATAGACAGACAGACGATAGATAGATAGATAGATAGATAGATAGATAGATAGATAGATAGACAGACAGACAGACAGACGATAGATAGATAGATAGATAGATAGATAGATAGATAGATAGATAGATAGATAGATAGATAGATAGATAGATAGATAGACAGATGACAGACAGACAGACAGACAGATAGATAGATAGATAGATAGATAGATAGACAGACAGACAGACGATAGATAGATAGATAGATAGATAGATAGATAGATAGATAGATAGATAGATAGATAGATAGATAGATAGATAGATAGATGACAGACAGACAGACAGACAGACAGACAGACAGACGATAGATAGATAGATAGATAGATAGATAGATAGATAGACAGATGACAGATAGACAGACAGACAGACAGATAGACAGACAGACAGACGATAGATAGACTGATAGATAGATAGATAGATAGATAGATAGATAGATAGATAGATAGATAGATAGATAGATAGATAGATAGATAGATAGATAGATAGATAGATAGACAGATCGATAGATAGATAGACAGATAGACAGATAGAACGATAGATAGATAGAACGATAGATAGATAGATAGACAGAACGATAGATAGATAGATAGATAGATAGACAGACAGACGATAGATAGATAGATAGATAGATAGATAGATAGATAGACAGACAGACAGACGATAGATAGATAGATAGATAGATAGATAGATAGATAGATAGATAGATAGATAGATAGATAGATAGATAGACAGATGACAGACAGACAGACAGACAGATAGATAGATAGATAGATAGATAGATAGATAGACAGACAGACGATAGATAGATAGATAGATAGATAGATAGATAGATAGATAGATAGATAGATAGATAGATAGATAGATAGATAGATAGATAGATAGATGACAGACAGACAGACAGACAGACAGACGATAGATAGATAGATAGATAGATAGATAGACAGATGACAGACAGACAGACAGACAGATAGATAGATAGATAGATAGATAGATAGATAGATAGATAGATAGATAGACAGACAGACAGACGATAGATAGACTGATAGATAGATAGATAGATAGATAGATAGATAGATAGATAGATAGATAGATAGATAGATAGATAGACAGATCGATAGATAGATAGACAGATAGACAGATAGAACGATAGAACAATAGATAGACAGAACGATAGATAGATAGATAGATAGATAGATAGATAGATAGATAGATAGATAGATAGACAGACAGACAGACGATAGATAGATAGATAAATAGATAGACAGATGACAGACAGACAGACAGACAGATAGACAGACAGAAAGATAGACAGACAGACAGACAGACAGGCGTCTCACCTCATTGAGGACAGTGATGAGGGCGAGCGAGAGCTCTCGGACTCTCTGTGAGTCTCCCTGTCGGAGCAGTTCTCTGAGGCTGGAGTGGGTCATGTCGCTCAGCCAATGCGGGAGAGAACTGAAGCTCGCCGGGACCGACGGCAGCACCACCTCCACCGTCCTGACACACACACACACACACACCATTACACGCCACACAGGTCACAGAAGAGCACAACAAGTCTTTGTGCCAAACCGTGACTTACTTGTTGAGGGCCATGACTGACGCCCCCTGGTGGTCCTCCACCATCACGGACACAGACACTCTGTACTGCTTCGAGCTGAAGCCGGGCGGCAGGAAGGCCGAATGTTCTGGACTCGTGCCTTTATACACACAGAACTCCTCGCAGGGCAGCTCAGACCCATAGCAGCGCACCACCAGCAGACTGTAGACCAGCGGCGACTCCGTCTCGTCCGAGTCCGCGTAACCTGGACATGACACGTGACTGTTCAACTCCTAGCTCTCACAGTCATACATCAAGTCTAGGGTTGGGAATCGAAAACTTGTTCTAAAATTAAAAATTCGACCGCTCTTATCGATTCCTCTGTGAGCATTTCGATACGACTTGTGAAGCACGAGACGACTCGCGCGCTGTATTATGTATAATAATCACAGAAAATGTGATTCGAATGTGATTTTAAACCGTTCAAGCGAGACGACTAATTATATCTGAGTTGTTTGTTGTTGTTTTTTCTTGACTAATTGGAATCGAAATTAGGAATCGTTCAAATTTAAACGAAGTCTCTGTCCTGCAGCCTCACCTGAGCAGTTGAAGTGCACTCTCTCCACTAGCGTGCGCACCTGAAGCGCGCCCCCGTCGGCCCACAGTGAGCACGCCCCCCCGGCTGGCGGCAGGTTCGGGTGGAGCTCGATGTAGGCCACGCCCTCGCGGTCCATGCTGTCGTCCGTCACATGGAGGCTAAACTTGTAGGAGTCTCCGTCCCGGAGGACGCCCTGTCTCACGACCAGGTGCATGCTGTCGCTGCCGGTGGTGGTGGTGTTCAGGTTCAGAACCAGCGACTCGTTTCCACGGGTCTTCGCCGTCCAATGCTAACAGTGGCGACAGACATGGCCGACACGTCAGGGGGATTTCCATATATGGACATACTTAAATATTCCACTATATCATTGTAAAATGAGCTGTGCTTTGTATTATTACAGTGAAATTATTTAATTAAATGCATTAATTATATTTATGTAATATTCCACTTTATTAAAATATAAATGTTATCTGAATACATGATTTATTTAAATTAAATGCGTCATATAAATTAATATTTTTAACTTTAATTAAATATTTGAAATGCTTACATTTCATAGTCATGCAGGTGAAATTTGAAAATGGTGCAAAAGTTTATGTACTTTTTATTTATTCTATATTTATTTGTTATAATTTTGATGATTATGGCTTACAGCTAATGAAACCCCCCCCCCCCAAAAAAGCTGTATGCCATAATCATCAAAATTATAACAAATAAAGGCTTGAAATATCTCACTCTGCGTGTAATGAGTCTATATAATATATTCGTTTCACATTTTAAGTTGAATTACTGAACTAAATGAACTTTTGCACAATATTCAAATTTTTCGAGTTTCAACTGTATATTACCAACTTTTATGCATTTACATAAATTAGATTATTCAAATAAATTAATCTAAATTAATATGAATTATACTATTAATTTATTATATATTTTAATAAATGATTACATATAAAATCAATAATATATTTTAGTAATAAGTATATTGTTTACATTATACAATTATTTGTTATTTTATAATTATTTACGAATGTACTTTTACTTTATGTAGTTACAAAAATTGAATTACATAATTTAAAACTAGATCATTCAATTTAGTTTTAAAATTCTATTATTTAACAAAATAATAATATTCATGAGAAGTTTTAATTTTATTGAAGAGTGAATTATTAAATTCATTACATGTATTTACTAATCAAATGAATACTTCACTTTATTAAAAACATCAATTTTATTCGAACACATTCGGGTAATGCGTTATATAAATGTGTGCAAAATATATTATATAGTTTTATGTAGCTACAAAAATTGTCATATTTTAAAGAATAAGAAAAAAACTATTTTAAAAAAAAATATATTAGATTTTTTTTAATGATCTTCAAGCTGTTTTTTCAGTTCCCTTGCAGAGACCTCAATCAGCACTTATCTCAGACTTAAATATTTAAATATATAATTTAAATAAGCAGTTTTATTTTCATCATTAAGTTAAATTATTAACATAATCACATAATAATTAACTTTATTAACAATATCATTTTTTTAAATAAATGTACATGAAATGCATTATATAAATATCTAACAAATACTTTATTTTTTTTGAAATGCCTTTCTCAGTGACCCTGCGGTGACCTCCGTCAGCATCACTCCCGATCAGCACTCAAGTCTAAACCACTAGATAAACATCCCTGAAATCTGACATAATATTTACTGACTCATGGGTATCAGACCAATGGGTATCAGTGTTTGACCGCCTGGTCACCACGTAAATGTCTGTGTGTGTTTAACGGGATGTCTTTAACACGGTGGACCACATCACATCACAAGGATGACATCATCACCCCGTACACCCACTCGGGTTTTCCCTACCTCTGGTTCCTATAACCATAACATCCCTCCAGCCTCAGTCTAAACACTATCGGAGAGCAGTGAATGCCCGTGAAAAAAGAGAAGTGTTCTCGTTCCCTTTTTAGAATGACATCATGCTGCTATCTCGCCATGTAAAGCTCTCTTTAATTCATTATGACGGCATGTTTCCTCTAATAAATAAGGCACGAGTGACTCACTAAATCTAGATATGCCATTCCCAACATTCAGATTCTATGAGGATCGTGTTATTCCTAAGGACAAATGATGATATCACGCCGCTTTCAATGCTTTTCAGAAAGCTAAAAGAGCACAAATTAAAGGGATGCTTCACCTCTGGAAAGAAATGTGTATTTAAAATTGGTTAGTTATGTAGAAGAAATGTGAATTTTTTTTTAATTTGGAGCTTTCTAGACTGAGAAAAGCCTAAAAATGTGTTTTTGGCATATGTGGATGAAAGACAACAACTCCCAGAATGCACTTGCTTCGCTGCCCTAGGAGGCCACGCCTACCGGTAACAGAGCGCAGTCGTTAAACAACAAGTCTAGGCTACTAGTGAGTCTCAGTGATGAGTCTGCCCGAAAATGTGTTTCGAGATCGCCCAAAATGTCCGTGATTCGGCTTTTGCGTTCTTCAGTCGCCATTCATCATGTTTCCTGCGGCGAGCGGGACGAGAACGGCGCGAGGCCGGTGGCGTGATTACCGATGAGCGACACCTGTGAGACGCACCGGTCTCGTATCTCTCACGGAGGAGCAGGAATTTTCTTAGCGATGTTAAAACGCACATCAACCGATCACTTGTTTAGCGCTCATGTAAACACTACATTCAGATTAACCAATCGGGATTAATTCAGTTAGATTGAAACAAAAGCTGTGCATGTAAACAATGAATGGCGAAAAGCTACTCAGCTTTCTCCACAGAACAAGAGCCTGCTAGCTTAGCTTCGAAAACAAGATGGCCGACACTATGTGTTAATTTTGTGAGTGAGATCGCCCTCTATGGGCAGGTTGAGGACATGCGGGACAGCCCTACAACTGACTGTAGTCTTCAGCCTCTGGACAACAAAATCCTCAGATGACACAAAATGACGTTTTTTGCGTGATCGGAGGATTTTTTTCAGACAAAAAAATACATAAAATGAAAATTTGAAAATTATTGTTATGTACCCTTGTGGTATTTCGTATACCATTGTTGGTATTTGATAATCATTACCTGTGGAAATATCTGTAAATTATTCATATGTATGGTACGAGTGTTTGGTTTTGACTTGTGCATTCACTGTTTCTAAATGAGGTATTATTTTTATTACTATTATTATTATTATTTTCTCTTTGAGATCGTTGATGAAGGAAGCAGCTATTTTTTTTTTGTGTTATTGTGTAAAATATGTAATAGACTGGGGTGGGGTTTAATAAGTTTTACTTCTTCCCACTCCATTTCAAGCATAAGTGTTAAAAGTTATTTTATTGTCTATCTTTTTTTGTTGTCACACTATCTTGCTTGAAATAAATAAATAAATAAATAAATAAATAAATCTCTCATCTCAGGGGGATAATTTCCCATTGGCAAACAGGTTTATGATTGACTGCGAGTGTCGTTCTCACCCCTCTGTGTGAGCCGTGGCAGTTATTGCAGGTGCCGGCCAAGTACACGTAGGAGCTCTGACTGATCTCGTAGCGGGACTGAGCTTTGCAGGACACACACTCCAGCGACACCATGGGGATCCGGCCGCTCTGCACCCACACCTGCGACCAGAAAAAGACTCAAGTCATGCAATCATGCTTTCTGTTGACCAGGGAACCCATTTCATTCAAAACCCTTCTCGCTCTTTGAACTTGATTAAAACACATTCAATGTTAGCGCCGAGACTGACGGCTCTCCCTGCCGCACGGGAATAATGAATTCTGCTCAACTATTGAGACGAAATAAAAGGACTTTGCTTCACCGTTCCCAAAGCAATCAGACCTTCAAAGTTAAATCTCATGAAACATTCCCGTTAGCACATCATATGTAGCTTGGAATTGTGAAGGCCAGGAAAGTAAAAAGCAAGTTGATTATGTTTTGATTGAATCATGTGACGGACCTTCCTTTGACCTGTTTGGGTCAGGAGCATGCTAAATAAGAAAGAATATTTTGTAATGATAATAGCGACTCATTTCAATGCTGTAGAACAGACATTTGCATGCGCTGCATTGTTTTTGCTCCCCCAAAAAACACAATCTTGCAAAACACTTTTGAGTAATCAGGGTAGTGGAGGATGTGCTTTTGTTCCTCGCTTGATCAATTTACGTGGTCATGATCGCTAAAAACGGTATTTTAAATAAGATTCATATCAGTTTACCGGCCGCTTTTCCAACAGCGTGACGTTAATTGTGGCATTCAAAAAGCCCAGAGTTTTTGATTGTGAATAATTAGTACTCTATAATGAGATTGATTTACATAGAATCGAGGCGTGTTTGCACTGAAAAGAATGACAATGACTTAATTGAAACGGTGCCGCTCTATTCACTCTATTCACTCTAATGCAGGTTTTTTCGTGCACAATCTTTTTTTTTTTTTACACAGTATTACGAAAAGATTATAATCTACAATCAGGGCCCTCACCGTTTGGGTCGTGGACTCCGGGGTCATGCCTTCTTTACTGACGGTCAGGCGGAAGGTATACTCAACGTCCACCTCCAGTTCGGAGCCAGAGATTCCCAGAACCGGGTCGCTCGGACCCAACCCGAAATGCAAAGTGGAACAGTGATCTGGACCCTGTGTGGTGGAGTGAAGAAGCGCTTTACAAAAGCTGCATTTGCTCATAAATCATCTCATTTATTTGCCTCAGGATATACAAGACACCAGCATAGACACCTGCTCAACAAAAACACACGTTTTATCATTTAAAACCTTAAAAAATGTGTTTTTTTGTGACTTTTTTTGCTTGAAAAGTGTGCTTGCACTTTCATTCAAATAATTTTTTTTCTTAATGCAATGACATTTTTTATGTGGCTTAAGTGCTATTTTTGAGCTTGAAATTTTCCATAATACGGCTGATATACGTAGTATTCCTTTGAATTTCTTGTCAGTGAGGTTTTAATAAAAAGCAGGAATCTCTGCTCCCCTCCGGCAGTAATTCTGATAGGCTGGGAGAACTCGGAGAATGCTGAGTTTTTCCCCCAGCTGGATATGTAACTGATCTCAAGTCTACACCACCCAAACATCCACTTTTGTGGCTCATACTTGACATATTTCGTCTTTCCGAGTTGCTGTGCACTTATTCAAGCCTCTGATATTAAACGTCCCTCATACTAAAACACCTTTTTCTGTCAAATTCACACATTCAAATCTCTGTTAGGATCGTTTTTAAAAATGCCAATTACTTAAACTCTCCAACCCTCTCTCAAAAATGCACGCAAATCCGAAACATGTGACAAATGTCATGATTGTTATGGTCTATTTGCATTAGTTCATTATCCAGCTTGGCACATTTATGCATTCGTTAGCCAGCTAAGTTGCTAAATCTTTTATTTACTTTAATATTTATTAATTTAGTTAATATAGACTTTTTTTAAAATCTTTGTAAAAAGTTCTGCAGTATTTTACTTTGGATATTTTGATTCAGTATCAGTTTTAAAAACTACTGGTTAATTAATCGGTACTGCCCAACTCAAGGTGATGATACAAAGGGCAACTTTTTGAGCAATGTTGCTGGGCAATCTTGCAGAGCCATTGAAAATGGGTAATACACTTTCCATTGAAATTGGGTAATACATTTCCATCTGGATAATTTAGGTGGGTCGTGTCTCATCTGGTTGCCCAATGACGGCAACGTTGCTCGAAAAGTCCGTAGCACCTCATTGCAGTACACAAGATCCAGGAGGCGGAGTCGGATCCAGATATGAGGGGTGGAGATGGGTAGGTTTAGGGGTGGGGTTAGGGATCAAGGGGGTGGAGCTGAGTAGGTTTAGGGGTGGGTATATGTAAGGTGGGAGGAGTTGGAGCTGTATCCGACTCCTCCCTGTGGATTTCATGTTCTGCAGTGAGGACCATCTCCAAAAAGTCACCTTCAGTTATCGTTATCGGTCGACCTCTAGTCTAAATGTATTTGAGATGCATCAGCCGCTATATTTGTTCTTACATCTTTAGCTGTTTTACAGTCTAGATTAAGGATGTTCAACCCTGCTCCTACAGTAGACGGTCAATTCCCAGCCAAGTTTAGCTTCAGCCCCAATCAAACACACATCGACAAGCTCGTCAAGGTCTTTAGGACCACTCGGCCAATGTGTTGGAGCTAGAATTAGCAGGAAGGTGGCCCTCCAGGAGCAGGATTGGACACCCTTGCCTAAATACATTTATGTCCTTCATTGTCAGTGAGCAAGAGGAACAGAAAGTTTAAGTCGTCGAAAAGCATTCATCAATCTTGATTACCTTTGAGGTGCTCACACATTCCCAGTGGTAGCTGAGCAGGGACTGGTTCTCCGGATCCAGATTGGGGTCGTAGGATTGCTCTGCGCTCAAATGCAAATCCTGAGTTTTAGACCACACTCGGTAGGTGCCACCTTCAATGATGGGCACCAATTTTTTGGACATCACCGAAAGTTGGAGACATGCTGCTTTGCGTAGTGGCACTCCCTCATAAGACAGAGAAAAAACTAGAGTGTAGTTCCCAGCGTAAATCGACATCTTGGGCACTGAAAGCTGGAGTCTCCGGACGTTGACTTCTGCGGGGAGACGGACCTTGGATGGCGGCGGACCTTTCTTGTCCTCATCCTGACAGCGAGGGGAGGTGAGGATCTCCCAAAGGTACTCTACTCCATAGAGGGCACAGCCTTTTAAGTTCACACTGGCCTCTACCAAGGTTGGCTGGTACCGCCAGATTGCAAGTCGTGGAGCTTGAATGATCTGAACTTCTGGTTCGTCACACTTCAGGACAGAGATGTTGATCTGAGTCTGTGCTGTAACCCAGCTCACAAGGTTAGAGATGTTAACTCGCACCACATAGTGACCAGGAATGAAGTAGATATGGCTAAGGGCAGGTGTGGTTGTGACAGCGGTTGAAGAACCATCCCCAAAGTTCCACTGATATGTTGCTGGAGTGGAAACAGGAGTGATTCCCACATGGAAACGGACCGTCTTGTTTACAAAGGTGTCACTTGGTTGAGCTTCCAAGAAGGCTGACCTGATACTGTTCTGAACTTGTATAAACTTGGTCACATTAAGACCGCTCAGGATATTGAATGCTCTTAGGAATATGGTCAGATTGCCTGGCTCATCTGGTTTATATGTCACCGACTTGCCAACCATGGGAACCTTGTGACCATGATGAAGGTCGAAGGTCCACAGGACAGTCAGTGGGTCCCGTGTTGGAGTGCTTGCCACATAAGACCTAGTTACTCCGACAGGTATAGCGGCATCACAGCAGTCCAGTATGGTCAACTTGGTCACAGGCTCCATCACTTCAATGTGCAGAGTCTTTCGTTCTGAACTCACTTGATTGTGGGCAGTAAGGTTGACGTAGTACGTGGCCACACTGGTGAACTGGTGGACGTACGTTTGATTGTTTAGGACAACAGTTGCGTCACCACTAATGCTCAGGATGAAGTTAACAGAGGTTCCAGACGAGACAGAGATTGTAAACTCAACATTTTCACCAACCGCGGCGACATTTTTGCTGGCCCTGAGCTCCAGACCCTGGATACGGTCTTGGACTGTAAAGTCGCGCAAGTACGATTCTCTACTGATGTCATTGGAGGCATTCAAAGCGACATTGAAGATTCCCGTTTTGAGGAAGACGAAGGAGGTGGCACGCTGGCTTGATGTTGTGCTGTCTGGCAATAGCCACATCCATGAAATGTTGGATCCCATCCGTGTTTCTCCACACAGAGAAACATTGTCCCCCGAGGCTACAAAGTTCTCTATAACATTTGTGGCACTGAAACTCAATCCAGAGATCGGTTCTTGAACGCTGATCCACTTTGAGACCATTTCAGAGCTGATTTTGTTGGAAACCTCCACTTTAACCAGTTTCAAACCTGCGTTTCTGAAACTGTACATTATGGAGGACATGTCAGATGTTAACAGCTCACCACCTGCCCACCATCTGTAATGGAGATCCGTCCCAAAACTTGCAGATACCGTCATAGTCGTCATGGCGTTTACTGCAGAAGGGTTTGGTGAAGTCTCGAGGACAAGCTCCCTCACAGGATCCAGAAACTCAATAGTTTTGTTCACAGCCAGCTGGCCAAGCAAGTTGGTTGCCTTGAGAAGCACCTCACAAGGACCCGGGGTGGAGTAATTGAGGTCTATGGTCTTGCCCGTGAAGTTACGATCATGGTTTTCATGTTCCCTCAGAAGGTTCCAGCTGAAGGTCATGTTGGTGCCCTCTTTTAACGAGGCTTGTAAGTGGAGGACGCGATTGGTTGCAAAACAGCATCCTTCAACAAGTTCATCAGCCACTATCTGCAAGCCCTCCAACTCACGCTGCACAAAGATATAAATGCTGGACTGAGCAGTGCCGATGTCATTCTCTGCGGTAACAATAACATTGAAAGTCCCAACGGAGCGAAACGTGTAGAACATTGTGTGAGTGCCTTGGAGAGATGTGCACCGGTCACAAAGAATCCAAGAGTACCGGACGTCATCACCTTGGTCGAAGTGTGCCTCAAAGTGGACAGAAGCATTCAAAGGGACATTGACACAGCTGGCATTTACTGACAGCCCTGTGATTGGTGCCAAGACCACAACGAAAATCTCATTTTTGGTCTCACTCACTTGATTCTTGCCTGTGACACTGATGTTGAACCTGCCTGAAGAATTGTAAGCATGTGATACGTTTGTTCCATTTAGTCGAGTCCCGTCTCCAAATTCCCAGAT